ACATTAACAAGTGAGAGGAAACAAAAGAAAGAATTAAACAGCTGTGATGGTTTTTGCTCTCTTCATTCAGGGAACAAATATTTGGTCAGTTCCAACTGTGTCCATAGCAGAGTCTTAAGAACTGTGGGAAATACAAGTCCCTTCCTTGAGTTTGCCTTCAGAAGGAAAAAAGAAGAGAGAGTCAAGCATCTAAGAGACTGACAGCACATTTGGAACTGACTGGACATGAGAATTGATTCTTTGAGTTCTTGTTTCACATAGAAACAAAGAAGTATTCAATGACAGTAGGGACTTTCTCATTTCTCAAATGCCAAAGCAAACTCCTCTTCTGCCAAGTCCAAGTTATACTGTACCTTCAATCCTCTCACAGAGCTTATGCAAAGAGTGCATGGGGCAGGTCTCGCACAGCTTGATCTGAGTTTTGGCACTCTGTAGGGCAGCAGCCGTACTGAAAGCTTGCTTCAGAGTCAGCATTACCTCATCGACCTACAAGAAGGAACAAAGCTCAGGTCGATATAAAAGTTGGCTTGCTTGGAAACACTAAAAACCCAATGGCAATGTGAGCGTTTACTGACTAAATAATAAATAATAGAATTTTGATGACTACAGAGCTGGCAGGGACAAAATATTAAACTTGAAAAGTAGGACCTTTCATCTATTATAATTGGACGGTGGATGAAATAAGATCATTTCAGTATGTGTAATATAATACTGGTCGGCTACTTGAATGCAACTTTCAAATCCCATGGAGGGTGACACTATCATAGACAGAGTAATTAGTAGATCAGGACACGGTTTAATTAAGTGATTTATCAGATAAAGACTTCTTTGGAAGTTTTGCCTGCCATATATAAGGAACAACAAAAGCGGTTCAACATTCACTTGTGTTAACTGTTTATTCTTCTGGATCACTTTCAATAGAAAAATAAACAAAGTAAGTGTTTAAATGAAGTTCTGGGGGGAAAATAAGATCAATGTAAATAACAGTGGGAAATGTCTATGATCATTGCTGGTCTTACCTCCACAGCTTCCCATGGATTACCACTGCACTTCTGAATTACAACAGTTCTGACATCTGGGTATCTAGAAGCTGGGTCTCAATGTTAAGCCAGCAGCTTGCAAAAATCCAGCTGGTTTCTTTCTTGCTCTTCCACTGACCCAGTCCAGAACATTCAATCTAGCCTTTTAGTTTCCTGTTGCTTCTTTGAAACCAACTAACAGCTCATCCTTAGGCACTGTTAAACCCCTCAGGCTTCACCTTCCTTTTCTGTGACCTAATCACCAATACAAAATGTGATTTTTCTGGGCTGGAATTATGGCTCAGTGGTAGAGCGCTCGCCTAGTGCATGCGAGGCCCTAGGTTTGATCCTCAGTACCACATAAAAATAAAATAAAGGTATTTAGTCCAACTACAACTAAATAAACAAAATATTTTTCTAAAAAAGATGTGATTTTCCCGCACTCTAGAACGTAGATCACATTCTGAAACCTACATGGCAGAGCTACTGAACTCTAAGGGCCTCATCCCAACTAACTTTTATATTCAAAAGCATTGGTCATACTTGGCAATCCACTCTTTCTTTTTTAACTTTATTCTTCCCCTCCCCCTATGGCCTGGTTTAAGAATAAGTCATTATCTAAAGAATTTAATCTACTTCTGCATTTCAGTATATGAGGAACCTGGAATATAAAGAAACTCTGCTCTCCAAATATGACTGAAATAAAAGATCAAACCAAACACTAAGCAGTCAGCCATTATTGCTATGCTTTATTGTATTACCAATCTTAAAAAGGTTTATGAATAATTTCATATTCTATCAATAAAAATGAATTGTTCATGTGATCTTACACTATAATTAAAAATAAATACTTCTAATATTAAAACTAAATGTGATTCATGTTTAATGCTTTGCATTCTGATTTTATTTGCTTTGTTTTATATTCAAAGGTAATTTAATTATTTATGCAGATACACATTTATTTCTATTTTCTTGTTTCTCATTTACTTGAGACACTGAAGGGGTTAGAAATTGGCTTAGTAATATAAATAGCTTTAGTTTTGGTAATCTGTCATTTAATTATACTGCCTTGTAAAGCCTCCTGTGGAAATACTGAATGTTTGTATTCTCTTCTCTATTTCTAGATGAAACAAGAAGCCATTTCAAAAGTGTCTAAAATGTGTCTACCAACTTCTCCTGGCCACAACACTTTAACTAATAAAATGTTAAATGTTTTGTTTGCTGAAGTCCACAATTTTTTCCAGATGGCCTATATATTCTATCATGAAATCAGAACAACCAAAAGTTCAAATTAGTACACTAAGAATACCAAAACAAAACAACAACAACAAAAAACTGTAAGTCATGTAAAAAGGTTAAAAGCTAAGGAATGAGCAAAGACAAATCAATCATATGCAAACCAAAGGAAAGTATTCTTGGCATTACCATCTGACAAAATCACATTCCCAGTGAAAAGCATGATATTGGACAAATAAAGCTAATTTATGATATGAAGGAGAAAATATATAATAAATACTCGTAAGCATTATAACCAAATTTAGGTATTATATAGCATTTTAAAGTAAGTCTCTAAGAATAACAGACTTGTGTAAAGACTTCAAAAGATCATCTAGTCTAATTCTCTGGGAAATTTTAAATTCACAAAGTATTCAATAAAGAATGGCACTGATCCATTTTAACAACTGTTAACAAGGTAATGTTCTACTTCAGTGCTAACCAGTCACCCACATATTGAAGTGTTCTCTATGTTTGTTAGATTTTAAGCCCCTCTGTCACATTCTATATTGTGTGTAAATTCTCACGTGACCACTTGTATGCCTAAAGTCTCCTCCCATAGTTCCCAGTCTAAACAATTCCAGTTACTTGCATTTTTATTCAGATGAAAAACATTCCATAGATAATTGCTCATTCCTGAAACATCAACAACTTTTCCTTACCATTGAAATCACAGATCTCAAACTTGAACCTGTCTTTTTACCTGCTATCTTCTCAACTTTGCTCCTTAATAGTTAGAGATTTAATTTTTAGTTTAATCAATACCAGATATAAGAGAAAGATAACTTCCTAAACTGTATACCTCATTCTCCTATCAATATGCTAATATTTTATTTATAATGAATACCATGCTTATTTCATTAATTATTAATATCATATAAATTTTGAGTCTTGGGTAACATGGATTTTTTTCCCCTTTCTTCTTCCTTTTGGTTATACTTTCCCTGAATAGTTTTCTCTGCATCTATGGAATTTAGATATTCTTTGTTTTTTTCACACTCTTTAAAAATCAATTTTGGAGAAAGCACTTTTAATGAATTATTTTCTACAAATTTGAAGAGTTGCTTAGACAAGATGAGCTCTTAATGCTCTTTCAAGGAGGAAGCGAGAGGGATCACTAAGCATTTGAACTTAACCGCAACCCTCTGGAGCCCTTCAGAACACTATAGTATTTACCAACTCATAACAACTGTTACAAAGAAGCAAAAGAAAATGCTAATTGTGTGTTCCTGTTACTCAGAAAAGATGTCAGCATGCACTCCTTTTGAAATATTTTACAAATATTCTACAACTGCCAAGCCACATCAATCAATCTAACACTGCTTGAACTGACATTATTTGGCAATTTTGTTTTGCTCTGTTTGTTGGCTGCTTGAGCCATCCCTCTATTATGCAGAAATGTACAGTTAATGTTTCTTTTGGCTTGCAGATCTGATGTCTCATTATTCATTTTAAGAGGATTAGTGATAAAATTAAATAGGGTTTGAAAGATCCTAGCAGGGGCTGTTCTTAAGAATAATGAGGCTAAAACTTGGACTCTGAAAGTGGTTTAAGTAACAGAAGGGCATTTACAGCCAGTGCAGTCTGTTGCCTTAGTCACAGCGCATGATAGGTGGAAAGACAGCATGTCCAAGACCTTCTGCAATTCCATTTCTAAACCCATTCTACAAGCACTGGAGGTGGGGGGGACACTAAAAATCTATGAAAGAAAATGGAAATAAAAGGGGGTTTACATAGCCTTCCTTTTCATGCAAGGGATGCAGTGAGCAGAGACTGGCCAACACCAGGAAAATGCCTGAAGTTAAGAGCGATATGCTCATTCCATCATTCAAACTATGAAAATACCAGGCTGGGAACATAGCTCAGTGGTACAGCACTTGCCCAGCACACACATGGCCCTGATACAATCCCCACAAAGAAAGAAAGAAACCAACTATCAAAAACAGTACAAGGATATAACGTGAATGAGAAATAAGCCAAACTGTCAACTTCACAGGGGAATGGCTAGTAATGCAAACAGATAAAAGAAGACCGTTGTTTGGCAGGAACTGTAAGAAACTTGTTCAGAGTGTAGTCAGAGTCCTAAAGACAGGACAGTAAAAGACTCAATTCCTCAAAAAAGGGATTCAAAAGGCTTCAGAAGGGTGTGCTATTTTGGCTGGGTCGTGAGTAAAAAGAAGGGGAAGGGCATTCAGATTTTGGTAAGGTGGGCCCACACCTGCTTGACCACTAAAGAGGCAACTCCAGTCCTGCACAATCTCCTTGTAGAGCAGAGGGTGACCCCTTGAGGCCCACATGGTCCCCTTACCCAGACTGGTAGAATGGGAAGCAGTAAGCCCTGGCTGTGGCCTCTTTGGCCACAGTCGTCTCCTCACTCTACAGAGTGGACAGTGACCTCTGAACCATAGCTGCACTCCCCCAAGTCTCCAGGGGCCTTCGGACACTCATTGAAATCATAGATCTCAGGCTGGGGCTGGGAGTGTAGCTCAGTGGTAGAGCTCTGGATTAGTATGTGCAAGGCCCTGATTTCAATCCCCAGTACTGGGCAGGGGGGGATCCTTGCTGGCATGTATGCCCCATGCACTTCATCACCTGCTGGTTTCTGTAAGCACAATCACACCAATGATCAAACCAGTCTCTGTGGTTTGGCTCAGAAAACAGCTTGTGACAGAACAACCTGGGTGAAGGCACAGTTGTGAAGGGCACGGCACTGCAGTGTGTGTGGAGAATCACAGCACAAGAGGTTGAAGAAGAAGGAAGGTAGCCCCATCACATGCTGGACCATCTAGCTATCATCCCTTAATAAGAAACTGTATACTAGGCTCCTGTGGGATTTGGTGAGAAATAGAACTCCAACTTAATGTGGAAAATTTATAGGTGACAGATTAACCCGGTGGCAGAAGGAACATGAAGATCACTGATAAAGGAGTCTAGATAAAGAAGAATCCCCAGAAAGAGCACAGAGGAAAGGGAGGATGGAAGAAAGAGACGTGTCTATCTTCACGACAACAGGTACTGGCAAACAACGGGATACAGAAGGTGACGGAATGCATTAAGGTCCTTAAGTTACAGAGTTGGGTAAATGGTGCTGCCTAAATAAAAACTAGGGGATCCACAAGAGGTTTTGAAAAGGCAGGGCAGGATGGGATCCAGAACATGGTAGAAGGATCAGCCTTAGACAGGAGGAGGGACAAGGTGGGAAGGAGGGAGGTATGAGTGCCAGGGATGAGTAAGGAGTGTGGCACAGATGGCCACACTCCTTATGTTATCCTTTGCTACCAAACTTACATGGCTGTATTTTTCTAGTGTTGTCAATGGTTCTCTTTCCCTCTACCCACTGGGTGTTCACTCACCCCCATGCCTTCCACTATTATTATCTAATGACCACCCTCATATTTCTATCTCACATCCTAAAGTGAACCTAATCAACACAGATCACCTGGTATAAATGTGGACAATTTCCCAAGTATGGTTAATTATCTAGAAGAAAAGTGAAACTCAAATGGAACTTTCTAGAAAAAGAAACTATTAAGGATAGAAATTTTATATTCCCTAGAAAAAAATGTAGAGACCTAGGGGCCCTAGTCAAAAAGTTCCTTCATACCAATCCATTCTCACTTTTTCATTACTCCTAACTTAAAAGTGTTTTCACCGGGAACGTGAAGGCAGGGGAACTATAAGATGCACCAAGGAAATGAGGACAATACTGCCTTGCTTATTTACTTATTCCTAAGTAGATGTGCTGCCCTGGTAGAGATACTAGGCTGGATTACATGTTGTTATGGTTTAGTTATCAGGGGTCTCCCAAAAGCTATGTGTGAGACAATGCAAGAGGGTTTAGAGGTGAAGTATATTTGCTTTTCTCATCTTGTTATCTGAGCAATGGAAAAAGCAACAGCTTTTTCTCTTACGAGTCTTTTCCTATCTCTTAAAACTACTCCTGGTACCATGACTGGGTTTGTCAAATCCATATAAAGTATCCAGAATTAAAAACTGCCACGGCAATTAGTTTTTGTTTCTCTAGTTCTGTGCTGCCTGGAAGGGTAAAAATATATTCCTAGATGCCCTCTTCTTTTCCCTCTGAGGCCTGGGTTCACAAAGACAAGCCTTCTGTAAGAGAGATGTGCTGGCAGAAGCACAGGGTCAGCCTTAACACCACTCACCAGAGATTCACTGGCACACTGGAACACATAACAAACGTACTGGCTCATCCCAGGCTCTGGAGACTCCCGGCAGATAAAGCCAAAGTGATCAACGTGCTTTATACCCTAGATGAGGGGAAAGAAGAACAATAACGAAATTATGGGAACATGTCCTTTTAACAACCATGGGAATCCACCTTGCTTCTACACCTTCCCAGTTTCAGGAATTTCTCCTTCACAGAAAAGTGATGGGGAACATAATGTCACAGCAAATGTACACATGGCCTGTTGACTCATAATATAAAGGATGAGACCAGCTCAGATTGTTTTGTTTCTGATAAACACTCTGACTCAGGGCCACAGGAAGAAAAATAGTGATATCATGATCCACTGAACCTTGTAATAAAACCACTACTCCAATGTTTCCAAGTAACAGTTTTCAATTTATTGTCTTCTTAAAAGAGCAGTCTTCTATATGTAGCTAAGAATCTGAAGAAACTACAACTGACAATATTCAAATACTATGCAATTTGCTGAAATATGAATGAAATACTAGAATATCTATTTATAGACACTCAAAGAGGAACACTGGTAAAAGATGGATATTTTTTTAAAAGATTATTACAGGTCCCAATTATTCACATTCATAAATCACTGTACTTCTTGGACCCAGGCTATATAGCCTCACCTATATTTAATAAAAAATTCAGAACATTTGTCACTTTCCTTCAGTCTGAATATATGCATGCATACCAATAAGTAGATGACCTTATTTTAATAGCAAGCACAGTACTTTGAAAAGCAAGATAGACAAAAAGTTTAAAGTTGTCCTAAAATCACCTAAATCTAAGTGAGAAGAAAACAGACTCTGGAATTAGAATTGTACTTAAACTTAGCTAATCTGCTAGATATGAGACACCGTGCTGGGTTGCTAAAGAGGGATAAGGTTGCAGTGTGGTACAACTCATTAGTGATTCAGGATTATCTTTGGGAGCTGGGGTGTAGTTCAGTGGTAGAGCACTTGCCTAGCATGTTGTGAAGCCCTGGGTTCCATCTCCAGCACCAGCGAAGTGTGGTGGGGATAGTCTCTACTAACTTAGTACTAAATAGGAAAAATTCACAGAACTTCATTAGCTCAGCAGGTCTTCAGGTGCTGGCAATATTCCCAGCAAAAAAAAAAAAAAGAAAAAAAGCCACTCCCTTATTCTCCATGCTTGCCAGGAAAACAGTCATACAGATTTTAAAGAAAGAAACATTTGTAGGTGTGCAGTACTCAAAAACAGGCCTATTTCTTAATACAGTGGCATTGTATCAACTTGAGTCCATGGAAAGAGGTACTGTAATGAGAGAACTTTCCACCAATTTCCCTCATGCTTTTGTTTAATTCTTCTCCTGAACCACAATATCAGAGCTTGCCTTTAATAAAAAAGAAGAGCAAAACTGTATTTGAACTTCCAGTTTTATATATTTGGATCTTCTTTTTCTTCCAATTTTTTTTAACTGGTTTCTTTTGGATATTCCATGAGCACTATTTTTCTTAGTGGGAGACTTGGGAAACACGGGGGCATAGAAATATGTGTGCTTTTAAGGATGTCTCTTGGTACTGTGGGGGCAGGAACTGCACCTGGTTTATGTAGTGCTTTCTCTCCAGCACTCGCACAAGACCCACTATATAGAAAGGGCCCATTCACTCAACATTTACCAAACCCCTAAGGTAACAGTTTCATTTTATTCTAACATCTCACATCAAAGCATAAAACACCTGCCTTCGTGGAGCTTATGATCTTATAGAAATTCCCAGTAAACATATCATAAGGATACTTAATAAGTTCTTTCTCAGGTAAATTAAGAATTTTCTAAAATTCTTTGGTACCAAAAAGAATTTCTACCACATTTCTGTGTCCTTTAAATAGGAATTTAGAAATGTATAATATATGTTCCTCTTAAAATGATGTGCCACTAAGTTATTGGAGTACAGAATGTTTATACATACAAAATAATTTTGTGTATCCATATAATAGAAAAAAATACTATCAATCCCTGGGTCCTTAGGATGCTAGTTTATGCCTAACATTATAATCATATATATATATATATATATATATATATATTTTTTTTTTTTTTTTTTTTTTTTAAGTTGTCCACGGACCTTTATTTTATATGCGGTGCTGAGAATCAAACCCAGTGCCTCACACATGCTAGGCAAGTGCTCTACCACTGAGCCATAACTCCCTAACAAATTATTTTTCTGAAAAAATTATTTTTCAGATTATAATCTTGTACACATTTGGCTGCATCAATTATTTTAACAACATTTAAATACATAGTTTGTGAATTAAAAATAAAAGAACAAAAATACTAAAAATGTTCTTTTCAAAATTTAAGATTTACATTAGCAGAAGCTGAAAACCCTAGTTCTCCTTTTACTACCTGCTATGGTATAAAGAGCAAACATGACTCAGTTATACCCACAAGTCCCACTGCCCAAGGTTAAGGAACACTAACTGTGAAGTACTTTGAAAAGAACTCACCACCAAAAAATTCCAGCAGTGGAAGGGATTTGATGAAGTGTCATGACAAAGAGAAAGAGCTTATTAGTATGAAGACAACTGTTAGGATGGACACTAAGGGACCTGGACAGGATTTGTTACATAAAGAATGAACAAATTTTAATTTTTCATAACAAATTTTATTTTTAAAAAATTAAAAATTAAAGAACATTAAAATGTGAGGGAGTTTATGCCCAGTTATTCTGTGAATAGTTGTGGAAAAAAAAAACTTAATGGGTTTCTTCAAAAACTATTTTACAACTCAATACATACCTGAGAACAAGAGGAGATATCTTTAAAATTCTTTTCTAGCACAACTGATTTTGTGTCTGGACTGATAAGGTTAATCTCAAATCGCCCAACCTTGAAAATAAAAGTATTCCAGTTAATTTCAACTCACAAGGACCTAACATCTTACTTTACTACTAAATATTCAAATAGCAATAATAGATTCAAATTCCTGATATATCCACATGTTCTCCAACATGCAATCCAACCAGTATTTTTTAAAATACTTTTTAGTTGTAGGTGGACACAAAACTTTTATTTTATTTATTTATATGTGGTGCTAAGGATCGAACCCAGTGCCTCACATGTGCTAGGCAAGCACTCTACCACTGAGCCACAACCCCAACCCCTCAAACCAATATTCTGACTCCAAATATCAGTTTTGTAATATCAAAATATTCCTTTTCTTTATCAAAGATAATGAAAATTAAATTGCTCTTAAATTATGATGAAAAATTATTTTTCAGATGAGAAATTGCCTTTCAAAAAATGTGCCATCGTTCCTCATTTCATAATTTCTGAAAGTATCAATTATTTATTTATACTATAATCATTCTTTCTCCCAAATACTCAATGAAATGATATAAACATAACTGAACTAAGTTTAAAATTTTTAAATAAAGAGACATTCAGAAAAATTAACAGTAAGAACTATGACTTGTTAAGAAAAAGAGAAAATGTGACAGCCCAAAAACTTACTTAAACTTATCACCAAAGGAAAGACCAGAGGTACATTAATCATTAACCAAGAGCCTAGAGGACCCCCAGCCCCCGAAAAAGATGAACTTTTTTGCAGGGTGGGGACAGGATGAACTTTTTTTTTTTTTAAATAAACTAGTCCTAGTGCATAAAGCAAATATTATGCACTGGGACTCTTTACTGAAGTACACCCTGGAATTTCCTTCTGGGGTTCTTTAAAGCAGAATAAAAGGGAAGTCATTCTGTTTTTTCTAGAAAACTCAAATGTTAACAAGCTGAAGATGAAAGACCATCTACAAAACACTGTTGTAACTTAAGTTCTTTAAGTAGAGTTTGACATTTTCTGTACCCTGCAGGACATTCAAAAACAGTTTTAGAATTAAGAACTCTTTTTTTTTTTACACCCATAATATGACTGACATTAAATCATTCAATAATCAGTCCAGTGGACGATCAGGCCAGTCGTGTTTCTTTAACCTTTCCTTTGGCATGCACAGTAAGTTGATGTGTTCTCATCTGAAATACACTTAGGAGTCTCTGGAGTTTTCATCTTTCTCTCTAGAAAGATCATCTTTTCTCTCCATGCCAAATAAGACTCCTAGATTACCTCTTCCAATCCTGAAAAGACTGTCTCTCTGCAGTTATTTTAAAAAGAAAAGAAAAAAAAATCTTTAAGAATCAACTCAAGACAATGGTGATAGATAGGAAAGCATCCATCACATGACTAATCTTGGAATACAGAGTGATCCATCCCAGGTTCCACCAGGTCACCATGACGCTCCTCTCATTAGCCCTTTCTCCTCCTCTTCCTCTCCTGGCTACAGCCCATGCTCTATGTCTGCCTCTCTCGCCTTCTAGGTTTTCCTGTGCGCTCTTTCCCCACCGGGACTATCTGCATTTGAGGGGAAAACACATGAAAGTTGGATTCTTTCTCACAACTACTGGAGTGAGCAGGAAGAACTAGGAGGTAAGTGCCCTGTCCAGCCACGTGTGCTGGAGCCGGCAGGGAGCACCCGGTGCTGGTACCTGAAACAGCATCGTTCTGTTCTTCTCCGAATCCGAGGGCTGCACGTGGCTGGGCGCGCTCGCGTGTCTCCTTCGAGGCTGTGATTTCTGGGCGTTCTCGTGAACTTTCCTTTGCAGGGCTCCGGTGACACTGCTGCACCGAGACCGAAACTCCTGCTGTTCATCAAAGCCACAGTCCTCCAAAATCCTCTCGGGGAAACAAACACGGGAGCTGGACAGGGCGGGCTGGCTGGCCACGGCGGGCAGCGCAGGGCGGCTGTTGGCAAGGCCCTCCGCCTCCTCTGGCAAGCTGTCTCCTGGGGACCCAGGCGACTCAGCCTCGAAGACCACCAGATCTTCGCCAGGATCCGCTTGCTGCTCGCCCTGCAGCCGCAGGCGCTGCTGTTCGTGAAGGCTGAACTTCTCAATGCAATCATCAATGAGGCTGGATGGGGCCTTCTTGTGAGTCACTACCACCTTGCCGCAGTACAGGACTTCGAACTTCTGAGAGTTGTAAAAGGCATCCTCGTTGTCTTTGCTGGGTTTGGCATCCTCTTTCATGGCTGCTTTAGATAACTGCCTTATACTACTGATTACATCAGGAACCTGGGGAAAAAATTGAAACACCTGTTCAGCGGAATATTCTCAGACGATTTATATTTACCTAGACCTGCTATTACCATATGAAATGGATTTTCACCCTAAATGGTAGAATATAGGAAACAATAAACCCTGCACAAGATAAAGCAGAAACTTAAACTATACTGTATGACAAAAAATGACTTCAAGGTAAAGTTGAAATTCAATGTAAGTTTATTAAAATTCAAACCTGGTAGGCTGAGACAAGAGGATCACAAGTTCAAAGTCAGCCTCAGCAATTTTGTAAGGCCATAAGCAACTTAATGAGACCCTAACTCAAAATAAAAAATATAAAGGGCTGTGGATGTGGCTTGTGATTGAGTTCCCTGGTTTCAAACCTTGGTACCAGAATAAATAAATAAATAAATAAAGAGATTGAAATAATGAGAGAGTGAGAGAGAGGGGAGGGAGAGAGAGAGAGAGAGAGAGAGAACTTTAATATTTATTTTTTAGTTATCGGCGGATACAACATGTTTGTTTTGTATGTGGTGCTGAGGATCGAACCCGGGCCGCACGCATGCCAGGCGAGCGCGCTACCACTTGAGCCACATCCCCAGCCCCTACTATAAACTTTTAATAAAGCATAATATATCTTTTGATAACTTCTAAAAGTTTTAATGAGTTTTAACAGAAAGGAACCAAAGTTCCAACAATGAGGATAAAACAAACATTCTGGATAAAGAGATTAAAACCCAACACACAGTGTTAGTCATTAGGGAAGATGCAAACTAAAACCACAACCAGATACCACTACTGCTATTAGAAAACCTAACATCAAAAAAGTAAGTGCCAGCAAGGATGTGAAGCAAGTGGAACTCTCATACACTGTATGCAGAATGTATATAAAATGACACAGTCTTTAAAAAGCCGTTTGGCAGTTTCTTTGGTATTAAACATATATCTACATCACAACGAGCGGCCCTTCTACTCCTAGAGATTTTTCTAAGATTAGAAAATATACCCACACAAGGGCTAGTGTGCAAAAATTCATACCAACTTTGATCACAATACCAAAACACTGAAAACGACCCAAATACCCATCAATAAGTGAACACAGAGAGCAAATGTGATACATGCATACAGAGTGACACCACTCATCACCTCTGACCTGGTCTACTGCAGTACACTTTAACTAGGTTTCCTAGACATCCCTCAATCTCCTTTCAAAAGCCAAAATGATCCTTCTTAAACTTCTTGCATGTTTCTTTAGAAAACCAAAGCATGCCACCCCAAAATATGTCACATTGGCATGTCGATTATTTTGAAATAACAGCAGGTGAGTTATAGCAGATGCAATAAGGGCACTCTGACCCTCCTTTTCCTCCTGAAAGCAGAAGACAACTCCCACATGAAAGATGTCCCCCCAGAACTACAAGGAAGGAAGAGTTCAGGTCAAGAGTAACCTGCCAAACAAGCCACATTAAAGTAGCCCATCTCTTAGTCCCTTTTCCACAATTAACCACCATGTCCCAAACCCTTTGTCCTGGCTGATTTTCATAATTTACTACTCTCTGTCTAACCTACTATGAAAACAGTTACCCTGACTGCTTCTTTAGATCTTTGTATTTTCTTGTAAGGGGTCACATGTAAAATTTACTAAATAAAATTTGTATGTTTATCACATGTTACTCTGTCTCATGTCAGTCTCTGCTGGGGAATCTAACAGAATAAAAGAGAAATTTTATCCCTCCTACATTCCTCACCTGCAAAACCCTCCAATAGCTCCCCATTTCTAAACAGTAAAAGCCACAATCCTTGCATCACCCTACGTGGTCCTTACCAACCACGTATGACATACAGATTAAATCTGCACAGTCAGTAGTTACACATCTTTCATAAGACTTTAGAAGGTTACTTTGCAATTTTTCACTCTTCCTGATCTTATCTCCTACTATATTTTCTTCCCACCTACTCTGCTCCACCCACACTGGCCTCCTTGCTAGTTCTTCAACATGCTAAGCAGCTGCCTACCTAAAATTCTCTGAACACTAGGCTCCTACCCCAAATATCCACCTGACTCTAGCTCAACTTGTTAGACGGCGCCCCCATGTGTCTCCCACTCAATGCACGTGTGCACACTTGCTCACACACACACACACACACACACACAGAAAGCCAGCATCTCTGGATTTTCCCCTGCTCCATTGCTCTCCATAGTGCATAACATCTTTACCATTTGGTATGGCTTCTAAGAGGGTCATAATTTTTCTTCCTTTCTTCTTCCATTGTGTCCCCATTGTTTCCCCAGAGCCTAGAATAATTCCTGGTACATAATAGGGTCTCAGTAAGTGATTGGTACCCCAAAAAAAACTTTTTAGTAATTGTTATCTTTGGAAAAAGGCAAAGACCACTTATGTTCAGGGTTGCTTCATATTCGGACATCTATGATATGTCTTTATATCTTCTAGAACCAATTTTAAAACTAGAAATTTATTTTATTTCACATAATTACTTGGAATACACTGCTAGAGCATTCAAAGTTGAAAAATTGCAAGAATTTCAGCTGGCCCGTCTATTTCCTATGAAAGGATAAAGTCCTCGTACAGAAGGTTCGATGACTCACTCTGAACGATTCAACATGTCTCGGGGACACAGCCAGGTGTCTGTGCTAACACCTAACTAGCAATCTTAGCCCTGTGCCATTTTCTTCTTGTCATGTACTCTAACTACCTGATGGAGACCAAAGCATGGGACAGTAAGTGAGGAGATATTCGACCCTGCAAAAAGGCAGATGATTCCAGGGAACTCAGCAAAGCCCTAACAGAATGATGTACTTGCCCTCATTACTCAGGTTCATAAAACCAATGTGCTCCTAAACCTCCTAAAGAATCAGTATTATTATCTGTAGGCCTTTTTAAAAAAAAATCTATAGATGTTTTTATCTGATTACAACTGTTGGTATTATTTGGGTGCTGCCTGAAGAGTCATAGTCTACAAGTGAGAATGCACAAGAGGCCAGTTCCTCCTTAGTCGTATCAAATCCTCTGAATTATTTGGTTGCCCTTTTTCCACTACTGTTATATTGATATCTCTCAAGTGAAAACCTGATTAGTTATGGAAGTTCTGTAGTTACCCAGGACTCCTCCCTGTGGCCACAAGACTCAACACCTAAATGCAGTTCAGAAAATGACCCACTTTATATAAGCAAAGCTTATCATCTTAAATTCTGAATTGAGCAGGTAATTTAATCTTCCAATAATTTGAGGTGTTTATACTATAAAACAGATTCTAATTACCTTTACTACCTTCTCCCGGACTGTGACTAAGCTCAACTTTCAGTGACTGGCTATTCAGAGACTCTAATTGAGAAAATGATCTAACAACATTCAGCTCTATTCCTGCTAATCTTTAAGTGAAAGATACAGTATAAAATTTAGCATTATACAGCCCTGTCTATACACTCATCCCACACTATAAGGAAAACACTGATAATGTAAAATATCCATAATAGAAGAAAAAATTGATTATCAGAGAACTCAAAAACATGAGGCATTTACTTAAAGAATCCATGAGAAATAATGCAAGAGAAATAAAATCTCTATCAATACCTGCATATACATAGTTTTAAATATCAGAATTCTCTTCCAGCAGTATTTACCACCATGTTCATCTGTACAATTATAAATATTGTTGAATGAACTTGATTCCTTTGTGTATGTTTGTATCTTTCCAACATCTCTTTTTCCTGTATCACTACACTGTAAGCGTTTAAGTGAGAAAGACTGAGCTGAGATGATTTTGTTTCTTCCATGCATGCAACCACTAAGAAAATGGTCTTTGCTCAGAAGAACTTGAATAAATGTGATCAGCAAAGAGAGGCATATGCAAAGCAGTAGACAATTACCCAGAATGCTGATGTAAGTTCTCCAGGATTGAAACAGGATTCGTAAATTGTCTTGAATCATCTATTGATGATTTAAGAGATCTGGCACTCTTAAAAATGGAAAGCCATGTCTCCTCACTGTGCTCACGGTTCACCCAAAATAGGAAGTGATGGTGTTTCCAAAATGTCTCCAAATGCTACAGAGCCCCTCACCTACCTACTCCAACTATGTGTTCTAGTTATTCATATTCTAATTACAAATAATTCATTGCACAGACTCTGCCTAAATCCCACAGAGCCGGATGCAGATGTACAGCCAATCTAAGGCAACATTTTCACTCTGTGGCACCATGTAAACAACAAAAAAGACTCCACAAAACTAGGCACTAAGAGGTTTATATTCTATCTCCAGCTGTACCAAACTTTTGCTCAGTACTTTTGAGAGGCAGTGTTTCACCTCTGCAGACTAGAGTTTTTTCCTAGAGCAACATGAAGGAGGAACGATATAGATGGTCAAAAAGATTTCACCTAGATTCAATTCTGTATTTACTTTTAGAGTAAGATAACATACCTTCAAGAAAAGGAAAATTAATGTTAATTATTAAATCAGAAATGCTGGGTATTGTTTTCATTAACACACACTAACCAATTAACAAACAATAAAACAAACAGAGCTTTTTGCAAATGTCTCATGGCATTTTAAAAAAGCACAGTGCCACCTTTAGCAAGTATTTTGTCCTTACACCTTTAGTGACTTCAATAAAACAGCTGAGATTCAAGTACCAAGAATCAGACATTAAAGCAATTGCTCAGACTAGACCAAAAATTTGTTGTCAGATTCCTTGATGCAAGGCTGTTGTTTCTTGTTAATATTATCATAATTACTTATCACGCTCCCAGAGATCCACTGGTATTTTTAAAACTACATTTCACCCAATTTCAAAAGGAAACAAATTCTACAACTACCTCACACTGATGTTTTAAAGATTTACACAAACATGGGAAAAAAAATCTGGATAGCATAAAAAGCACTGAAAAAAAAATACAGATATATACCTCTGATCAGGAAGCCACTTGAACATTGGTGTCTTTCATAAACAACACTGCACAGGTCAAACTGATGTCGTCCTCATTTTTAGAACTTTGACGCACTTAAGAAATTCTCTTTTTATATAAGCCAATGGTAGTTTCACTGTAATTAAGTCCACATTATCACTATGCAGCCAAGAGAGAAACCGTTATTGCTTCAAAAGTTAAGTATTTCCTGAGTCTACAATCAGGAAATACACAGATTGTTCAGGACCAAAGAGCAAAAGTTTTAGCTTCCTTTAAAAAGAACCACTCTAATTTTGATGACCACTGCCTTTCTTATACTGTTTAAATAATCACAAGTGTCCAACAATTACTAATTGTGGAGATATGAGAAGATTAATCTATGATATAATGTTCTGGGGTTTTTTTCCCTACAGAGTTCAAATGAACTTCAGTAAATATTTTTAAGTGAATACAAATATGAATGTGAGAATACCATTCCTAAAATATGTTTAAACAAAAAATAGCAATTGGTCCATCTTCTACAATTGCTATGAGCTTCTTAACTGCTTGGTTCATTATTAACCTTTTTATAATAATTATAAGACTTAGTTAAGGGGGAAAAAATAAAAGGAAACAAACAAGCTGAAATAAATTCCTAACATGGATAATTAAATTATTCTCCTTCAGAGTTAGTATGGAAAAGAAATATATTTGTTTTGGAAGCAATGCATGTCTTTAGGGGAAGTATAGATTTCCTTTATGATTCTGCTTTACTTAAGAAACGATGAAGAATAGTTTATAGAGTCTCCAGGCAACCAAGGAAGAAGCCAAAAGTACAATGGCATGAAGTAAAATTTAGCATTTTTTTAAGAAATGACTAATTTGGTCATTTGATGTTATCATTTCTATTAGGCTTTTCAAAATCTCATTTTCCAATAATGGAGAATGATGGGAGGCTTACCCAGGTCATGAAACAGTTCATTTGTATTAAGGAAACATTTTCCCAGCCTCAGGTGCCTCAGAAGCATATTTCATGTTGTCATTTTTAAAGTGATACTGTCTGACCATTTCATTTTAACTTTCATCCTAAAGTACTTCAGAGATCCTTTGTATTTAATGAGTTAAGAATCTAAATTATTATTTTAAAGTTTCCACAGTAAAATGACATTTCATTTTGACTGAGAATCAAAACAAACAAGAGTAACACAGTGATTTTAAAATCTCAGAATTATACAACCAAAGGTGCCCTTAAAAAAATCACTGGTCCCCTCCTATCTTGTTTTACAGATGTGGAAACAAACTGTCTACATCAAAAGCTAAACCAATGAAGAGGAAAATAATGAGATTGGGAAAGACTAAGCTATTTGGGGCCAAAGAAAGCAGAGTACAGTATCTCTGTGATTTAAACCAGAGTCCTACAAGTAGCTTTGTCTTTGATCCCTGGGCTAGGCGCCAACACAGTTCCTCTCAGCCCAGGCTTGAGTTCTTAGATACCTCAGCCACTTTGCTCCAAACATACTAACAGTTCAGCTCTTCTCTAACTGCTGCTGCCTTGATGCCCCAAGTTAGCAAAATCAGAGGCCAACATAACATGGAGTTAGAGGTCCTCTGTTTAAGGCTCCACTCCAGACCTATTAGTGTCTATAAAAAAGACACCACTCTCAGTGTCAGGTTTATCATCTCCAACATGGAAATTTCAATGCTTATCTCAGAGGTAAGCTTGGAAAATAGAACTAAATGTGCAAAAATGCCTAAAAATGCTGGAACAAT